ACAGGAGGAAACCTGTGGCAGACCCAGGCTCAGGAAGGGAGACAGGACAAAGACACACCGTGGAGAAGATGGGTTAATTACAACTAATGAGTAAATGCAGTGTTTTTAAAAAGTGAGTGAAGAAGAAACCTTGCAATCTGGGAGACATGCAGATAAGCAGGCTAGACCTAGTGCAGCATGACTGGGAGGATTCACAGTCATCTGATCCGGGACTCACTATAAACTCCATCAAAAAGGCAAGTTTCAAGCTTAATATTAAAATAGAGAATGTGTCTCTCTCCCTTCCCCTTAAAGTTTGTGCCCAATCATACACAGATCTCCCTTTAGTGTATAGGCAAGCACACAGCAAAACACTTCATCTTAGACCCCATAAAAATGAATTTGTTTAAGAGGAAGTTTCCCTCCCTTTTATTCATCAGACAAACAAAATCTATTATTAACTGGTCAAAAAAACCCCAACTCATCACAAACATCAAGTTTCTTTTTGTTTTTTTTAATCAAAAAAATAAAATTAAATTAAAAAAAAAATCAGCCAACAAAACATAAAAACCCACAAATATATATAAAACTGCTATTATCAGATTAAAAACAAGCTACAAATAAATGAGATTTTGTCACACTCTTCATACTGAATACAAACAGTTTTAAACATAACTTTTTGCTACTTGCACAGAAAATCTGTGCGCTTTACTCAAAATGAACCACAGGGCAAAAAACAAAACACACAAAACAGAGTTTTAACAGGCTAAATCTAGCTTCTTAAATGTGATCAGAACATGTGCTGTACAGGAGGTACAAGTGAAAACAGAAATACTGAGAAAAAGGCAGTGAAAGTGTCAATTTGCACCTCAGGTTTTCCAAATGCTAATGATAGCTAGTGCCCAACTATAAGATAATGAATTCTTTTCTTTTTTTTTTTAAAGGGGGAAAAAAAAAAGAAGAAAGGATTAAATATGTATGTTAAACTATTCATTTAAACATTACTCTGAAAGAATAAAACTCGCTTAATATGGCATGAATTTTTTTATTTTATTTTTTTTTTATTCCCCCCCCCCTCCCAAAAAAAAAGTATGAGAAAAATCAAATTTCAAAACACACAACAGCAAATGTTTTTTTGTACAAAAACCAAAAACCAGTCACTTATCTCCTCATCACTGATGGGTAGTAGTGCAACATATCCACGCTCACCCATCCTGGAGTCACAGTAGATTGACCAAATAACTGCAAACTTGAATGGCTGATGGCCAGCTGTGGATAAAAATTTCCTGGGTAGATTGCCGCTGCAGTGTATCCTTCACTTGGGTTTAAAGCTGCAGTATAAACTTGAGGGTTTTCTCCTGTTGTGTAACCTAATACGGCCTGAGGCGGTGCGTACCCTGGATGTGAACTTGCGACATAAGGCATTTGGCTGTGTGACTCGTATCCGGTTGAAGGCACCAAAAAGTCAGTGGGGTTGTCTCCAGAAATTGTAGGGAAACTGCCCTGATGGCTGCTGTTCACCTCGGTGTGGGGCTGTTCTGTATAACGTCCCATAAACCTTTGCGTCAGCCTCTCGGTTACAATGGTACTGATGGGCAACTGGTCAACTCCAGAGCTGTCAGCCTCTGAGTCAGCATGTGGCTGTGGGATCTGTCCTGGGTTATGGCTGGTGTCTGTATAGCAAACAGGGCTGAAATTTTCAAAGACGCTTTGATCAGCAATAGTTTGTGGATGCTGTGGGTCTTTGGGCTCCACAGTGGCGGTAGTAGCCCTTGCACCAGATGCAGCTTCAACTTGAAAAGGATTTCCAGTCATCAAATGGTCCAGGGAAGATGAAGTGTCTTCTGAGCTTCCACTCAGACTGACGTGTTGGTTCTCACTGCCTGCATTAGCAGGGTTTCCTGTCAGAGGCACGCTTTTAAATGAGCCAGAGGAAGTTGGTGTTTTTGTCACTGCATGCAAATTCAACCCATTTTCCACACTTTCAGATGAACTGGCAGCACAGGAGTCCCAAGGCTCAACAGTATCAGGAGCTTTCATTCTACATTCTCTCAGCACACCAATCAGGTGTACACACAATCTCCAGTCTACATCATTTCTGTTTGGCAAAGTATCAGCTGGCCTTTCCCTGGATGGGAGACACTGATCTCTGGGAGGCACTGACAGCGTTTGGCTGGTAGTAGGATTAGCAGCCGAAGAGCATGCTGGTTCTGAGTGCGCCTCTTCCTGTTTCACATGCAAGCAGAGGGCAGGCTGCTGATAGTCAGAGACTGGTGGCGTGAGCTTTGGTTGCACAGGAGGCTTATAGCAGGTCTCTTCAGGGCTGAGACATGAGCCAGGATGGGGCAACAGTGAGGCAACAGGATCATCCTTCGAGCTGGAGCCGCTCACATTGAGAGGACTCCGGAGTCCTCTTTCTTTGAACCCATCCAAGTCACCAACCGTTTGAGTTGTCTCTAACTGAGGCTCCTGTGTGAGTTGAGCTGAAAGAAACAGAATAGCACAAGAAACACAATTAGAGCCTGCAGAAATAAAAACAAACCTTTTTTCCCCCCCACACTCTTTGAATAATCTCCATCTCCAAACCCATGGAGAAGTTTCTCAATTTCAATTACATATTGTGAGATTATTATTCTAAACGTATGTTATCTTATACCTATAGTCAAGGTAGTTGAATTATGTTAACAGCTGTAGAACATAAATATATCCCTTAGTCTAGATTGTGTGCAAAGTATGTAGCTTAGTTTCCCTTATATTTTTAGGTTAAAAGAACATGACCATTTTTGTAGTTTGTTAGACAGGTGTTCCATTATATTTTTGGGGTTGAAAGAATGTGACCACCTTTGGATTCTGTTAGACAGGTGTGCGCTGCCATTGATCTGCTGTGAATGTATTACACTGTTTTCTTGACATGTCAGACTGCTAAATCATGAAGAGAATGTTGTGTGCAGAGGACCTTGTGCCGATAATAGAAGAAACAGACCACATTCCATGCCCCCACCTTTATAGAGGGAAGAAAGACAGGGAGCCGAGGTTATAACTTAGGCGCCGTGACAGAGAAAGAATGTGAATGTTTAGGCTTTTACGACTAGGTGGGGGGCCAGTAGAGGTTATAAGAAGCTGTGTAACCCATCACCATTTTGAGATTTGCTGTGACCCTCTTCATGCATGTCTCCCCATCCGGATGGCTTATGCTCATTGTATGGAAATAAATGATTGTTGATTGAGCATTTATACACCGAGTATTGTCCTTCCTTCAGCCCAAAGATTCAAAGAATTGGGAGATTTTAACAGTATAAACACATTAGTATAATGTAGATGCCACGCTGAATTTGGCTGATTTCATCATACACTCGCAAACACACGGTTAAACTGTCACTGTTCATGCAGTTCACAGCACAGGTGAGGTTGGTAAACCAATCAGATTACAGTACTAATATACTAATACTAAATATATACATATATATCTGTCAGTGGCGTATAACGCAAAATAGAAACATGCAGAGCCGGGTTGGCAAGCTTCACCTCACTTTTATTTTGAGCCTCCTCTCCCCTCCTGTCCATCACCGAGACATTGAGGAGCAAGGAGGAGGGAGGAGGCTTGGCGGTGGAGCAATAGCTGAAAATTTGCAGGTCTTTATCCTTTGTAAAAGCTTATGGCCCTGCGATGAAAAGACAATGCATCAGTTATTTATAGCCCCCTACGCTGTAAAATAAAAATGTGTTTATGTGAAAGAAATAAAAGTGAACATCTGGAGCCTATCCCAGCTACCATAGGGCCAGAGTCCAGAGAACCAATCATAGTCAAAACTGGAAACCTACAGCCAATTTTGTGACACTGATGCAGTCATGCCTCTTAAATCATTACTGTAACAAAGATGCACAAAGGCAAAGCAAACTAACAGTGTGAAGCTCAATGCAAGAGAAAGCCAAATGCAGAGTTAGCTCACCAGGTGAAGCACAAAAACAACACTGCAGGCTTTGTTGTCAAATTAAAACTAGTTACTCAATAGAGGATAAGTTGTTGTCCCATCAACCACTTTAAATAGCACAAAAATCTAATTTATATTGTCACGTTCAAATTTAAAACTCAGAACAGAAATATACAAGAAATTCATACATGGTTCTGCGTTGAGCTTAAGTCAAATTTTATATAGTTGTAAATAATAATAACAGCAACAATAATAATAATATTCCCAACTACCATTGAATTTGTAAGCTTGTTCACATACAGAGAAATAAATATTAGCTAATATTGAGGTCAGTTTCAGTTTCTGATCCACCACCTCTCTCATGATCATCCTCACCCCACAAGGCAAGATCTTGAATGGAGCTCCAGACTGAAGAAATATAAAATGACATTCAGTCACCCTCAAATACTTATTTCACTCAATGACGTGCAAATCAACTGCAACTTTTATGTCATATAATTTTTTGGAAAGTTTGGTTGACATTCAGTCTCTCACCAACAACAAAGAATTACATAAAAATTAGAATAATCAAATAATTAATTCCCCCTGAGCCTATGAAAAAAAGTTCAGTTTTGGAAAAGCAACCAGTCTCACCATTGTCACTTCTCTGGTATCGCTCAGCTCTATGAGCTGATTGCATTTCTGTGGAAAGAGACTCATTTGGAACTGGCCGCTCATCAGACTGCTGACCTGTGCAACAGAAAGCAGAGGTCACACTTTATACTCCTCCTCCAGTTAACATAAAGAAGATGAAACATCGATTTAGCAGTCTGGACTCACTGTTGTGCTGTGGTACCAAGACCCTGCGTTCATCGTTGTCCTGCGCCATGCCCAGTTTACTTGATTTGTCCGTATGCATATTTTGCAACATTTTTATAGCTGAAGAACAAACAGAGTTACTGTGTATTTGCTTCACCTAAACTGTGTGGACAGTTATAACTTGATCTTATTGTTACCTTCACTGAATGGAGCCGTCTGAACACGTTCATGCATCTCCTTTCTCAGCGTAAAAACCTGTGTACAAAAAGGGGGAAAATATTATTACTATTGTCACTGATGTCAAAGCAGATGAATCGAGCCAATCTTTATAGTATATGGTCTTAACAGTCTACCTCTGGACTTTCATCTTGCTCCCGCTCTGACAGCTTCCAGGAAACCTTCTTTAAGAGTTCCAGTTTCTTGTCTAAAGGCAGGTCTTCATACCAGAACTTGCGGAGAAACTGAGGGTATACTTTCCGCTGTAAGACATATTTTAAAATTGTAGGAACATATGCTGATCACTTATTATTCAAACATTTGAAAAACCATTATTAGAACAATACACACCATGTATTCGAGCTGGTGCTCAGAGCTGACCATGTGCTGACAGATGTCGCGGTGAGAGAGCGCCTTCTCGCAGCACTTGCATAAGAAAAGGGTTTCCAAAGAAATCCCGCGGCACTCGAACACATAACTCTTACCTGATGGAAAAACACCAGGGGGCACAAAGAGTGAGATAAAGTAATGAGAGTGGAAAGGAGTTTCAGTGTAGGATGGAGACACCTACCAACAATTGGTTCAGCATCCAGTCCCTTTGTATTCAAGAATATGGACAAATTGCTGTCAGGACTAGAGTGCCGATTTCTTCCCTCTGTGGTAGCACAGACACAATAAAAGAGTTTTTACTTTCAATCATAAAATGAAACAACACCATCAACACCACCAACCTGTTGAAGTTCTTAAGAAGGCCTGTGATGCACTGTGCTCTTCTGATACTGGATTGCCTCTAGACACGTGGTCCATCTTCTGCCTTGGTCTCAGCTGGTTCTGCCCTTCTGCTACAGGGAGTGGCTCTGAGCAGCTGAATTTGACAGGCAAAGGTTTTTGTGCGCATGCTGGCAATGTCCAGTTGTCCTGAAATTCTTCACTCTTCGGCTGCTTTGGTCTGTGGTCTCTAGCGCCGCCACGAAGGTCTGCCAAAACAAAGTTTCTACATTATGACTTCTGCTAAAATGAGTTAAAGAAAGAAGAGAACCTATAAAATGTTACAGAAGCAGAATATGTAAAAAATATTCTATATTTACCAGGACACTGCATTTCAGACATAACTTCAGTGCAAGTCTGAACCTCTACATCTTCCTCTAAATCCTCAATTTCTAAATTATGTAGAAGAGATCTATTACTTCAACTTTAAACATTTATTTTATGTGTGATTCTATAAAAAAGCCAGTGACAAGCATGGATGCATTACCTGCTGTTTCCTCGTCTTCAAGCTTGTCCAGAATCATGTCATCAGATTGTATGTCTTCACCTTCCGAGCTCTGTCCGATTGGCTTCGATGCAGCCAGGTCCGTCTCCCCTTTTGAGTTAGAGCTCATTTCTGAGTTAACAAAAACATAAATAGGTTTTGAATATGATTTTTCTTTCTTAAAGATATATTCATTTGCATTTGGGGTCTCACCTTCTTTCTGGATCAACAGTGCCTGGTGCTGGTTTTTGTTCTCCACCGCTGGACATTCGTAAGTAGAAAGTCCTGACATTTTATTTATCCCTAAGAGACAATAAATGCATTTTTTGAAATCAGCTGCTGGTATCCATAAACTAGGACCTGTTTGGAGCTTTTAATGTCTTATTTACCATCATCTGAGCTTGAAACGTCGCATGGACTGGAAGAGGCAGAATCAGCTTGGGAGGTTGATGAGAGCCGCAAGCTTCTCTGATTCATTGACTTCACATATTTGACAGCTGAGAATCAAAAGATGGACAGGAAAAAGAGTTCAAATCTGTGACTGCTGTGTCTATAAACTACACATACAGTACACTCATCAGATACATGGCTAATTAGTTACTGTACATCTTTCTGAGGCGGCTAAGATCTTTTAATGTCTGTTGTACAATGTGTCTTTTGTGGCCATCCTCTATGCGTTTACATGCTAGGACAGCAGGTTGACAGTTGCAGATGCCGACAGATTCAATAAACTGATCAGCAGAGGCAGTAACGTTTTGGGAAGTCTCCCCCCCCCCCAGACAAGGTCTGGGCTGTGTGCCAAGTTTATAGTCTCAAGCATTAAAAGACTGGATTCTCCATTTTAGGAAAAAAATGAATCAATCTTTCTTTACCTTCATCTTCTGGAAGATGAGCCAGCTTTTCATACACGTCCTTCTTCACTTTCAGAATCTAGCAGGATAAATATAAACAATTGTAATTGAAAGCTTTACCTTATGAGCTGTCACTTTAATGTTGTACTCTCATGTGTATTCGTTTTGCCACGCATAATGTTAAAAATGCAAAAAATCTGTTAATTGTGATCTAAATTGTCTGTTGGTAGACCTGTGGTTTGCGAGGGCCGAGACTCCTCTCAGCCTCGGTCAAGGGAATCGCTATCTCATTCAGTTTTCTCTCCATCTCTGATGGCTTTGCGGTCCAATCAGGATACTTCGTTTTCTAATCAGGGAAAAAAAGAAAACAAACAAGATCCAATTAACATCTATATTTCTGAACTGCTTCATAAGCTACACTGCATAGAGGCTTAAAAGCACGCACCACATATTTTTTCCAGTGGTCTAAGCTGATCAGGTGATAGTCACTGGAACTGGTTAGCTTCACTGAACACAGCTTACAGTAGACTTGCTGCTTCTCCTCACACGATACCACAATCAGCTCATTTAAGCCTAAAAAGTAACAAAAACACAGGCTTCTGGTTAAAAATGAAATAGTGGAAAGAAATTCACTTTTTACAAACAGAAATAATAACTTTAATACTTGCCTACTTTAGGAAGGCCTTCACTTGGCTTTGTCTTATTACTCATGGAGGTTTGGGGTGGCTCTGTGGGTGGCTTCTTGTGTTCAGACCTGACAGACGTGCCCGTGGCCTGATGAGGAGCGCCAGGTTTGTTACTTTTATGACAATGTGATGCATTTGGCCCCACTGAATTCTTCACATGTACGGCCTTTGCAGAAGTCTCCACACTCTCAGGTCTAACTGAGGTTCTGGGCTTTTTAGCCACAGGTGCCATTTGAGGGGTGGCTTTTGTTTTTAACTGATGAGATGGAAACTTTTCACTTCTGGAGGAAGGTGCAGTTTTGCAAGTAGCCTCTCGCACCACTGTGGATTCAGTCTGAGGTGTTCTGTTTGAAGAAGTAGCCATCACTCTCGATGGAGCTCCGGTTCTGCACACTGCTGGAGATTCTGCAGTTGACTTTGCATTTGAGGCAGATACCTTAGAGGTGCAGGCAGTTCCTATCCGTTGGGAAGAAGTTGCAATATTTTTAGCCGCGGCTGCAGTGCACATGGATGTAACCGGTCTCACTTCTTCCATGTCAGGCTTGGGTCCAGTTTTAATTGATTTCACACTTGTGTTTGGAGTAATACTGGCTTTGGAGGCGGTTTTTGTGCCACTTGCATTTGACACACACAGACTTACGTTTTCTCCACTTCTGGGAGTAATTGGACAAGTGACAGATTTGTTAGCTGGCTTGGGGGCTTTGTTACTCTTTGTGCCCTCTTCAGTTGATTGAGGGAGGACTTGAGTTATTCCGGTGCCTTTAAATAACGCAGACTCCTGGTTGTCATCAGTCACCATGTTCACCACCTTCACAAAGAAACAATGGCATTTAGTAGCAGTAGTTAAGTTTTTTTTAAGCAGACACAAGCATGCAGTGTTCAGGTTGTGGATTTCGACCACGCACATCAATGCAGTAAGGTTTGGTACCAATGTTATCTGTTTGAATCTGTGCAAGTATCTCTGTTTAAAAAGTCAGTCTCTGATCCTATGAGTACTAGCTAGCAGGCAAACAGGGTTTGGATGGAGCCGGGAAGGAGAGCTTGGTCAGCTCTAACATGAATATATTTTCCTTCATGTCTTTAGTTTGTGCCTTTACTTCAGAATTTTCCATTATTGCAAATCTCATATGAATATCACGCATAAACTCTATTCATAACACACTTCACTTACCTTCACGCTGCCCTTTGTATTGTCATCATGTTGGTCGACTGAAGTGTCCACAGGTTTTACGCAGGTAGGAGCTGAGGATGAAGGGAATGTAGACCCAGTGTCCTGCTGAGTCTGAAATGCCTTCACTGTCTCTATGGCTGTAATGATAGTGGGATAAAATGAGGAAATTCTGCACTTTGGTAGTTCTGTCTCTCCAAATTAGCTTCACTAAGGTGAAGTAACAACAAAACCCAAACACAGAAAGCAAGGTCCATCCTTACCCGACTGAAAGCTTTGTTTTGAGACCTTACTGTAAACTTCTTCATTTACTTTAACATCCTGCAGTCAAGACAGAAATAAAATTAGTACCCCAAATGAAGAATTTAATTTTGGATCTTAGTGTGAAAATATAATATAATTAAGGTTAGACCAAACTTGAGCTTGTATATTTTTTTATGCTAATCTCAAGTAGCTTTATTTTGGTTCCCCTTTCTCCAGTTCAAGTGAACACAATATTTTTAGCCTTACAAACATATTCTTCCTTCCTCTTGAAGAGCTAAGCCACAATTAAAGTTAGAGAAACGTCAATTATTGCTCCCAACCATATGATCTCAGAAATTAGGCAGCATATCAGCTTCTTAGATCCTTCTGTTAAATCGAGCCTTAGAAACTTTGATGTCAAATATGACACCGAGTGCAATGCTCAAATATAACATATGAGCATTGCACTGAGATAAAAAAGAAGCCCAACTTAAAACTGAACATGTACTCACCACCAGCGGCACCTTGTGATGGTCAAATCCAGTCAGATGGCTGACGATGTCCTTCTCTGAGATCTTCAAAGAGCAGGACTCGCAGAGGTAGACCGGCTCATGCGGAGGACAGCAGCATTTAAGCAGAGCGATAAAACCTGTGGGACACATTTGTTTACCATTAACACTGTGGAATTAAAAGAATATATCATTGCTAACATGGCTTGCATTAGTGCCACCTTATTAAAACTTTTATCAAGTGCGTAGTTGTAGTTATTTTATACACACTTTGCAAATGTGCTCATAAAGAGTTGGCGCTCAGTCCTTTTGAAGGTCATAAGCTTTGTCTGGCGTGAATGTCCAGGTGATCTATTGTGTAAGGTGACCAGAGCGCAAGAAGCCAAGGCAAGCACACTTACAGACACAACTAACTGTAGATGAAGTTCTAGGTCAGAGGTGAGAGATACATTTTGCTTGTAACTGCATTTGTGTCTGCATAGCAACAGTTGATGCAAGAGGTGTTAAAATAAGCATGAAACGAACAAGTCAACAGGAACCATCTGGAGGGGGAGACTGTTGAAACAAACAGCCATGTATGGTAAAAATGTTGCTGATAATGGAAACTTGTCTAACTGTCATTAACTGTTAATCAATCATTACCGGTAACTGATGCATGTTATATTCTTTGCTGACGCAAGAAGGGGCTGAACCCTGACATATTAAAACCATTTTGAAGTGTGCTTTTTAGCAAAGGTCTATGTTGATGTTGTTACAGTATACATCTTCCCACGTGTGTGCTTAATAAAATCATCGTTTCACTGAACTCATCTGGGCCAGTGTTGGTTTGTTCTTATCCTCAATATCAAAGAATCGGGACAATACCATCCATGTTTTCCCCTTCCTAGAATATTTTTAGATAAAAATACTTAGCTCTCCTTATAATCAAGACACAAGTAAAGCCATAATTATTAAAATAAATAAAAATCTATTACACATTATTGAAAGCTAAGAGGAGTAAACCAACTCTCTTGACATATCAAAACAAAAACAGTAAGACAGTCTTCAAAACCTTCCAAACCTTTGTTAATTGCCGCTTTGCAGGCTTCATCTTCATTGTTCTCCTTCTTTATGCTAATATCAGACATTTTTGGGGCTTTGTCACACGAGTCTTCTCTGGAGGTCAGACGCTGTCTTTTAGGGCCCATTTCTCTCCCCACACACTCAGTAGGACACGAGTCCTCTTGCGATGTTTCAGACACACTGTGCTGTCTTTTTCTTTCCATTTCTTTGTAATTCTTCAACTGTGCTGGGACATCTTTGCTACTTCTGCCATCTTCTATCCCAGCGTCTGCACCATTATCTTTGTTAGCGTTGTGGCAGCTTTGCGTCGCCCCAGCTGATCCTTTTATTTTAGCCTCTTCTGGCTCCTGCTTTATCGCCTGACACACCTCACCTGGATTGTTCATCACTTCTGAAGCCGCTTCACTTTTCAACCCCGAGTCATTTTCACTTGGTGTCGGTGTGTCACGCTCTTTTTTGATTTCTTCTACACCGACTGTGTTGGTGCTGCCATTTTTCTGAGAGACACCTCTCACACATTGCTCATCTTTTACAGTTATCCTTGGAACTGAGATAAAAAAAAAAAATTAAAAAAAAATATTGATATACAAGTCAGTCTGAGTACAGTTCTCATATTAGGCATCCATTCTGGAAACAAAAAACAGCAAGTCAGCTTTCCAAATAAAGACAATGCAATGCCACCCTGGGAGCCACACATGCACATTTACTGCTTGGACAATACTGAACATCTATATGATTCTTAAAACATTTTAGTGTACTTACCCAGTTTTCTATGAAGTTTTATTTGGGGTTTAAGCTTTTTGTTCTCAGTTTTCCACTTTACACGGTCCAAGATTTTGGTTGCTGGAAAAGAACACATGAAAAGTGTCCAACCCAATGTATCTGCAGATGCCACTGAAAAAAAAAACCATTAACTGCAACATAAATACTCACCTATAAAGTAGGAGTATGGCTCCTTAATGGGACGCTGCAAATATATTACCTTCGAGAGAAGACAGATTCAAAAGCATAAATGTGTGGAAAGAGCAAACGTTTAAATTAAATCAACCATCTTTATCAACCTAGTAGAGAATACCTGTATGTGAGATTTATTGTGAATTGTTGCTGCCTGTTTTGCCAAGTCCAGTAATGTCTCTGCATCAGCGTTGGAATCCAGTGAGCCTGGGTGGAAACAGTCCTACGCACAGAGATGAACACAAGCTTTATTGACATGTTTTCAGTTCAGTTCTCTGGGATTCATTTCCCTACATTATTTGCATTTACTGGACACTTCAGACAGTAGGAATTAAACCTGATACAACATTTCCAACTTTCATGACTCAATAAGCTTCCTTTTTCCTGCAGTTGCTTATATGACTCCAAGCTGCAAGCTTTTACATCATCTTCAGCTAACATTTGCTAATAAAAGTTTCTAAACTTTGTTACAAAGACTGATTCTTTAAGTGAAAGACTCAGCATTAGTCCTTTTTAGTTTTACTAAACAGTTACAGAAGGAGGAAGGAAAAAAAGCCCATTATAAACCATTTTATTTAAACATTTTGAAATAGTCTCAGATTTGATTTGAGAACAGAAATGCAGGAGGAAGAATACACTTCTTCTGGTACCTCCTGTCATCATTTTCTTCAAATTTACTGCAAATAATGAAAATAAAAATAATTCATACTGGAAAAGTGAGAGTGCACTATAAAAAAAAATGTATTTATCTCACAACACATAGGTGTAAGACGAATAGTGTGTGAGTGTATGTACCAATATCGTACCAAGAGTTCTCCACATACAGCTCTAACTGAAGTGAGAGATTGAGACCACATGCACCCTCAAGTTTCTCTGATAGCAGGCAGATGGGCTAATTGGCTTGGGATACACAGTGCCAAGGGGCCTCGTAGGAGATAGAGTTGGAACCATATAGGGATGGAAATAGGGAGAGCTGGAAAGTGCTAGATTCTCTGAATTCCTAGCAGGGTAATGCAGGGAAGACACTGTGCGATTTTTTTCAGTCGCGCGATTCAGCTCCTGCTCAAACTGTACAGGGTCTCACACTATAAGGCCCGATGCTCTGATGCGACCCGAGTGCTCAAACTGTGCGTCCATAAAATGAAGATTATAACAGAAATTCTGTCGCTCGCTCTCCCTCTGTCTTTCACTCACACACACACACACACACACACACCATCAACTTTGCTAAATTGCTAATTTAAAACATTGATCAGGCAGCTGTGATTGAGCAGCAGTGTAAATCCAACTATTTTCACGGTTGTTGTGGTCGTGATAATTTTGTGAGGCCACATCGAAAAGGCTCGGATGAGCTTTCCAAAGTTCTACAAGTGCCTCCATCTCTTGTGTCCAGATCACACGCTGCACTGCCGTGCTACTCCGTCTTTTTCACGACATTTATATGTTTGCGCGTGCACAGTGTGAGAAGCTGCGGTGACACCCTCACGACAGTCGTGAGTCAATCGACTAAGCGATTGATAATCGGGAGCTGGTCGTGAGGTGTTAATCGCTTCTCGTTACCCCACGTATACTACACGATGCAGGCCAAAATCGGGCCGATCACCAAAACGGTCGCACGACTTAAAAACCTGCTCAAAATGGGCCAAAAATCGCAGTGTATGCCCAGCATGGAGTCACTGATTCAGCGACCTTGGTAGAGCTTCAATAATTTGGAGGTGTTTTTTGTCTAGCCTTTTCAGTTTAGTGAACTTGTATTGAAGAGAAAAAAAAAAGATTAAAAAAAATAAAAAAAATCCCCTTTTCCATCCAGTGGGATTTTTTGCACCCCTTAAAATAAATTAGGGATAATTTTGACAAGTGTAGTTTAAACAAATTATCAGTTCTCTACCTCAAAGTTTGGAGTTTCCAAATCTCAAACTCTGCTGAGATTGACCATCAAAACATTTTTGGGATGACTTTAAAATAGTCCACATTTTAAAGCCATTTAAAACAAACAAACCCCAAAAAAAGGGGGGGGCGGGTGGCGGCCACCACCTGTTCTGAAGATTGATTTAGTAATGACATTTTATCAGCGGAAACAATGTTTACAAGTTAAAAATGCAGAATTTATTTTTTAGAAAATATTAAAATTACTTTTACCCTAATTTTTTTGAACTCACTGAAACCAGTAACTCGATACAGAGCTGTCCCATTGTCTTTTTAAAATCCTACAGCAGTATCGAGTATCATTAGCTAGCATTAATTTAGTTTGCTAATAGCTTTTGCAGAAAACCGTTAGAGCCACAGTGTTAGCCCACAAGCTATCACAACCAACATTTGCACAGCTAATTTTAGCTATGGGAACAAAAGAGTCGACATTTAGACCATCTCGTTTTACCTAGAAGCTTCATAATTACATAATCACGTTCTTTCCATCTGTTTAATTAATAACTACTGACTAGCTTAACAGGATAATGTTATGGTGGCTAATATGCCTGGTAGCTAACAAATTTCACTAAAGATTATTTTACACTCACCTGGAAAAAAAAAAAAGGAAAAAAAAAAACCCAAAAAACTTTTCCTTGCACTTATTTAAATAAATTATCTGTTAGCGTTGTCTTTTTGGCAGTTGTTTAAGTGTTAAATATAGATTAAATAGAAATAAAACGTAAAGTGATTAAATTAAGTTGCCATGGAGTCAATACTTTCCCCCAGGGTCCTAAGTCCCCCCTGTTTAAATTTAGAGTTTACCAAAAATATACAAGTCACTCTTCCACGGTACACACTTTACTCCTTTGTATCTAATATCCAAATCAGTATCATGCATCGATGCATGCAGACATGGGTAAGTGGGCCTGCTGAAGTTCAGAGCATGTGAATGAAGAAGGAAAGTGATTAAAGTTGGTTACTGGTGCCACTGCCAGATGGGCTGTTCTGAGTATTTCAGAAACTGCTGATCTTCTTGGGATTTTTGCAAAAAAGAAGTTGGATATTCAAAATAAAAAGAAGATATTCACCAGGAATTTTGCCACGTGTTCACGGCTGAATGCATGGTCGTAGCATTCGTGCTCTGACAGCCTCCTCTCACAGAGCAAACACAGAAAATGTGCTTCTGGGGAATTGGGTTCTTTGACATATAAATTATACATCACGATGAACTCAATGCCTGCAATGAAGAGATTAAAAGGAAGAATGAAAACAGCAGTTACAATCTGAGTAAAAATTTATTTCTATAGCACCTTTAGAGATAAACATCCCAAAGTGCTTCAGAACAAAATACCCAAGCACAAAATACAAAACATTAACCAAACAAGTCTTAAATTATTTAATTTTTTTTAGCTGTTTCTGTTATAGTGCCATTACTCTCTTCATCATCTCCTTCCTCAACTCAACCAGCATCATTACAGTGGGATACAGAATTGGTGAGATTCACTCTCTTCTGAGTCATAATAAGAATATTTTATACAGACCTTGACAGTATTATTCTAGTAGTACTTACCAAGTAGAGGAAATGATTCATGTCCTTGGAGTTTGCTATATGTTTGACAAGGTGGAACTGCAGAGGCATAAACAAACACAAGCAAAAATCATTATTTAAAGAAAAAAGTTGAATTAAAGTAACCCTTTCAATTTAAAAAACAAAAATCAAAACCAACTTATCACTAACCTTCATTCTTCAAGACATTGTGCTGTTGTTCAAGTCCCTCTAGTACTGAAGTCAAAACAGAATTTTTTAAATATTGTGGGGTTTTTTTTTTTAATTTATCCCCCCCCCCGCCCCAATAGCAGATGTTCACTGCAGGGTGCATACAGAATTTTATCAAACACGTAAACATTTCTACATGTTCAAGTTTCAGATTCATCTTTAAAAAATAAAAATAATTAACGTTTCCCTCCTCATCAACAAACACAGAATGTCTGGCAAATATAAAACAAAAATAATTAAAAGTGTGCAGGCACAGCAGCAGGGTACACAAAAGTCCCCACTTGTTTGCTTCTAATAGACCAGCGGTCCCCGACCTTTTTTGCGCCACGGACCGGTTTGTGCCCGACAATATTTTCACGGACCGGCCTTTAAGGAGTCGCGGATAAATACAACAAAATAAAACTAGTACCGGTACCGAAAAAATTAGATTTATTCATAACACATGTGAAAAGACCCAGGAAAACAGAGTTAACGAAATAACGCTAAAAACCATACATTTCACACCCCAGTCTCAACTCTCGCGGCCCGGTACCAAATGACTCACGGACCGGCCCGGGGGTTGGGGACCGCTGTAATAGACAACACACCATGTGCACTATTTTTGATATTAGGAGAACGGACTGCTCAGCATCTCTGGTCTCTTCCTGTTATTCAATCACTATAGCCAAGTACAGCTTGGCAACTCAGTTTTAAAAAAAAAAAAAAAGAAAAAAAAAGAAAGTATTGCTCAAAGTTACCACAGACCAACATCGGCACACAAAAACAGGATGTTAACCATGAATCACAAGCAACAGTTCAATGTGAGCATGTAGTGGTTAGCACATTCGCCTTATGCACGAAAGGTCACCCCAGGGTGAGACTGAGCAGAGATACAAACAAACCGAGCCTGTGTGGGCCATGAGCTCCAAGCTTGGATAAATGGGAGGGTTTTGTCAGGATGGGTACCCAGCATACCAAATTAAATATATAGATCCATCCCACTCCTAGGGAGGAGCTAAAAGCAACTCTTTCTATAAGCGTTGAATTACATACTTATGTAGGAAGGACACTCGTACTCCAACTGTTTGGTGTATTTTGCATGATTTACAAAATTTTAAACCCAATGTGAAATTTACATTTATATTCAGTACTTATTTACTTCATACTTGAGTAAAATTTATCTGGCAGCATCAATCTACCAAATTTGGCACACCTTTGTTCGGTTTGCCCCATTCTCTATGGTAAGGTTTTTTTTTTTGCTGAAGCATTTAACTGCTCAGGCCGAGATCCTGAGCAGAAAAGGATTTCATTAAGAACTGCCAAAGCTATGCACATCTGTAGCAATCCTCGATGCACGTTTCCCACTTTGGCCAAATACTGTTTTTTGCATCTCATGCTCTGTGAAATATTCAGGTAGTTTTTGGCAAACTTTGAGTGGGCGCTTTGGCAAAAGTGTTCTTTTACCAAAAAGTCTCTTACAGAAATGAACTCTTCCGTGCCCACCCCAGTGTACAAATAAACACTCCTGCTTTGTTGCCCCCATTATATTCAGATCTTATTTGGCACAGTTTTCATCATGTTTTCAGTCATAAAATGTCCTTCTTGAGTCTTAGGTTAAAACAGAAGTTTTGTAATCTCCATATAAGGAGTTGTTTTTCAGAGCAGAGTACTCATTTTTGGTCAAGCCCAAAACATTTTTCTTCCAGTTTTACAGATATGGTCTTGCTCAAATCATTTAGCTAACAATGTTCTTAACACATGGATCACACAACATCAGAATCAGTAATGAATAACTGTGAAAGAATGTGCAGCAGGCAGTCAGTTTGGCTGGACAGCCATATCTTAAAAGACTGCTGGTGGTTCCAAACCCTTTTCATTGGTACTACTGCATTCTTCGGCACCTTCATACCATATAAATGTTACTTTAGTGTTTTTATCTCTAACTTGGATCTCGACAACGACACAGTCTCATTTTTCAAGTCTGAGAACAAATGTTTTGACAGTTTGGTTTTCACTTCGACATAACTGAGACCTCACATGAATACTTTTGTGCCTTTCCTAATTTAATTCCCACATCATTTTCTTGATGATTTTTCCTTTCACCTACTACACTAGCTAAACACATCCCTATGTACACATACAACTTCATACAGCCCTGAACACACATACTGACGGCCATATAAAGAACTTCCAGCTTTGGGCACGTTTGCATGCTCAATATATGGTTCTGGTTCAGACCCATCTGTGAATAAATATTTTTTTTTAAAAATTGGAAGTCTTTTTCCATTGTCTGGAGATGGATCTGCAAATTTTGATTTTGCACACCAGATGGTCTTCCTGACTGGGAAGGACAAACCAAGGACCTTATGTGTTAACCACTACACTATGGAGCCACTGCCTCCTTTCTGACCCCCCCCTTGCATTAAACTAAAGCTGTCTGTATATATAAAAATATATATAGTTCTTACCTTTTTCAAAAGTAGGAGGACTGAGCCTGTAAAATACTGACCATGGCATATCAAGAACCTGGGAAACAAAGATTACATTGTAATATAATATATTAAAAACAAAAAAAGTAAGAGAAAAAAATAATGATAGAGTCAGCAGGAAATGATTCCCCTTACATTACAACTACATTAACAGGTGTTTTTTAAAATTTGGGATTTTCCTGCTTTAATTTTGAAACATATCTTCATTCACATAAAGTGAATGTTAGTTCAGTTTTAATTTCTGGATTTATAAAAAGAGCTGAGCCCCCTTGGTTCATTAATTTGCATTTTACCTTCAGAACCACCTCCCTTGGTCTTGCCTCCATCTCTTCCTCCCACGCCTTTAACTTTAGTGTTTGATAATCCTGCAGATTCTCCCAGCCGAAAGGCAGCCGCCAGGGATTCTCAAACAGCTAAGAGTAGAAAACAAGAGTCGCTCATTACAAACTGTATGTTTCATCAGAGCCCGTCTATGTAATATAGAGTACTGTGCAATCAAGGGCTTGAGCTGCCGCTAATTTCTTGATTTTGTAAGGAAAGCTATGAACTAAATGTAGGAATTAATGTGATAGTTGTGATATCAGTACACTGGAGCAACAGCACAAATAAAAATACAATTTCAGCTACATCACTGTCGCTTATACTAATCAATGCAGTAAATAATAACCTAAAACCTCACCAGTGTGAACACAACATGTTTTCGGGAGTTTAAGTGTGGCTCAATCAAGGACTGACAGACACACTCCTGACAAGCAAAGCATATGTAAAAAGGCTCTACATCAGCTTCTGTGGTAATGCAGGACACAATCAAGGTTGTACCTAAAAGAAAAACAGAAACCAAAAAACAAAATTATATCAAACATTTTTCAAATCTACCGTATGAAAACAAAGCGAGCAAACTTACCAATGACTGGCTGTTTTTTCTTGAAGCACTCCATGACATACAAGTGTAAGTGAAGGAAAAACTGAGCTGTGATAAAGAGAATGAATTGAGCAACAGCAGAAGGCCATCTGGGACTTTTCTAAAATACAACTATACAAATATGTGAAAATAATGAGTTCTGTGATAGCAAATCAAATACGTATGTGTACCTTTTCTCTCATAGCCTTCAAATCCTTCTGTTGTAAGAAGAAAAGAAAAAAGTTATAATCCAATTTGAACTCTTATTACACAAAACATGAAAAAGAAAAGAAAATTACCTTCAAAGAGTTTCCACAACATCTGGAGAAGATCAAAACAAAGAGTTTTTACTACACGTTTAATTAGCAAATCTCAAAAACAAAAAAAAAAAAACCCACTAAGGAAATCAAAACAGTCACTGTACCTCCCTGTGTCTTGGATTTGACAGATGATTGAGATATTGAGATATGTTTTTCAACGTCAGACAGCAGTCCTGTTGCAAAGAGACAGATGTGAAACAAGACTGTCCAGACAGTCGGTGCATTGGAAATTTTATTTTTTTTAAAATTAAAAATAAATAAATAAACAGCCAGCGGTACAGCAGCAACATCAAGGCTATTAAGGACAAATTAATCACCTGACACAGCAGTTTACATCTTGGGTAGTATGCGAGCAGCTCTGAAGGTTCGCTTGCAGGTGCTGACTCATTTTTGACAGCATGATACTCTGAAAAGAGAAAGTATTGTAATGACATTAAAAAATGGTTTTGAAGGTTTTAAAGGACATAAAAACATGGATTTTCTGTCAACTGATTTCTTTAATGAACTTATCCAACAGCCAAACACCAACCTAAGTTTTGGTGAATTTTTGGCAGGTCCTAAATTTTGTCTTCTTTAGACAGTGTGTCAGTTTATTATACTAACTTATTATACTGCCATTTTACATGCGTGTCCACCTTAGTGTGTGTCTGTGGCCCACATTTAGGTGAAGCGGTGTGGCAGCTCGATTGGTGCCGATATGTTCTCAGTGAGCCAACTGTGTGGTTTATGTTCTTAACTATAACCAGTTTTCACTTAATTAGAAGTACAGATGCACTGTATAGACCAGAGTACTGGGACAGGCCTGTTATCAAATTCAGGTGTTTTCAGTTGTATTGCAACAGCTGTATCAGATCAACTGATTAGCCTTGCAATCAAACATATGAACACTTGTGAACGAACGGGGCGCTTTCTGGAACTCACTGGATTTGAAAGTGGTACTGGAATAACTGGTCTGCTTGGGAAAAGTCTTCCCTGCTAGATATTCAGCTGTAAATTGTGTTGTTGCAAAGTGATTCAGAAGACCGCGTAACGTTACAGAGCAAGGTTCGGCAAGTGCTGAGTCACTGACTCTTAGACTCAGTGGCTGCAGAGCTCCCAAAAAAAATAAATAAAACAAATAAAAAAAAATAAAATAAAATAAAAAAAAAAAAACCTGCCCCAGGAGTTTCATGCTGGTGTGAAGTATAGGCGGTCCAGGACTTTTGTCCTTTTATTTAAATTTAGCTTGGTATCCTATAAATAAAAAGTTGGATAGAAATTGAAGCACCAATTTATCCAATTTACTCAAGTAAAAGAAATGGACCTGAAATGTACTGAAATTATATATAGTAGCTCTTTGAAGCGCATTTTACCAGCTACTTTTGTGGCACGCCAACAGACCATTCTCTTAATTTTCTGCCAACCATTATTGGTAAAAATGCTTTTCTGTCACAGATTTGCTCTCATTTTCCTACTGATACAGAGTATACAGCATTCAGATAGAATATATAGAGTAAAATTACAAATAGTCATATTGGCTACAGGTAGCTGAAAACTCTACACATGTACAGTAACAAAATATACTTTTACTTCAATTTGAACATCTCCAAGTTTGACATAGCTGTGCTGAACACAGCAGTTACTCAAGTCTGATAACAGAAGACTCCCTGATACATTACCCAGCTTCTTCCCTGGTTTGATGGCTGGTTTCAAGCTGCACTTCTTGATATATTCCAGGGTCGTCAAAGCTACAAGATCAATTGGCACAACATTACTCTACACTGCACTAAAAAGCCAGTTTGTGCAGATGAATAAATCCTAAACCAAGGTTTAAAATTAGACACCCACCTTCTGTGTAGCTTTTAAAGTTTACGGACTTGAATTCAGCGGGCTCCAGGCTCACTTGCTACAGCAACGAAATAAATAAAATTGTATTTTCACATTAAGAAAAATTAATGGCTCCAATCATCTTAAAAGCCTGAATAGAAACCTCACATATACATACTTTCAAATCATTTTTTCCATGAATCTTCTCCGTCTGCTTTGCCAAGTCAAGCATCATGGATTCAAAGGAGGGCTTGTGCTCCGAGTAGCACTCTTTTGACAACAATGTAGAGGGATGCCACACTTTCTGCAAAGAAATTCAAAGTAATTTACATATTACTCCCCACCTTTCTACAGTGAAGGCCAAACATGGCTGTTCTTACATATCGTTACAGAGTCGCAGGAATAACAGAGCACCACAGGTACATTCATGTGGG